ATCGAAACGCGCACTTTAGCGAAAGTCAAATCGAACTCATTTTTTGGTGCTCCATATGCTTGCCAAAAAATGCCAATATTTTTCGATGGAGAGTTATCGATTTTCCAAAAACCCGTGGTTTTTGAGATAAAAGGAGTTTTCTTGTACAAGGCGTACTGTTTTTCCTACAATTTATACATTTTGGAAATCAGTGAGAGAAACTACACCGATTTCATGCCATCTCCCTAACTGAGGCCCTAAAGAAACAAAAATGCACGAATCGAAATGTGAGACTAATCGGGTCGCTGCATGAACATACATTAACGCAGTAGCCTTAATTACCTATTATACGCTCTGGGGCCATTTTCCCGGTGACAAATTTTTCAACTGAATTGAATAGTGTCATATATACGTCGCTAAATGCGCTATCGAATGACGTAAACATTTTTATTCTACAACGTTTCGTTCTTGAAAAATTCAATAAAGAGAATAACGGCAGTATTAGGAAAACACTGAGAAAACGAACATGCACAGTATTATTACGAATCCACCTACATCCATCCTCCGATCTAACTCATTTCTACGCCAAAATGTTCCTTAACATGCCCAGTATCTATCAGGTTATGACAAAATCTCACACTCAAGTTTTCCTATGCTTAGTTATAAGTTTTCCAAAACCCTTGGCTTTTCTAGTAAAACTTACTTTTCTCTCTTCAAACGTTATTTTACCACTAGAATCTATACATATTCGGAATCAGCGTGGAAAACTGCATCGAATGATATATAATTTGTTAGCTCTAACAATGAACCATTTTTGGACGAAAGTTCAGGGTAAGGGCCTCCTGCGGGAGTTTTGTTCAGTTTCGACTTTCTTTTACTTCAACTAATATCTGATTCATAATAAGACTATATTATGCGAAAATAATCATTTATTAAGTCAAAAAACCAGATGTCTGCCTGCTCTGTGGAAAAATGCCCACTGTAGGCCCAAGGAAGCGAAAAAACTCGAAAACTTTTTTCGAAAACTAAATGGTACATTTTGTTCAGAATTCAACTTTGATTACAGCCATATAGTTGTTTTTGATTCTGTTTTGGGCCGAGGTCATCGCTTATTCTGCCACATCCTTTCGTATAGGTTTTGATATGCGTTCTTTCAGATTACGTATGATTTTTAGAGAAATATTTTCTGCTGTACATAGCACAAGCTTATCTTTTGAAGAATTACCTTATTTAAAGGGAATTTTGGATGAAAAACAACGGTAACTTAGCTAGTACAAAAGTGTTGATGGTAAAAAGATGGAGCATCTGCTGAAATGTATGGTCTGCTATTCAAAACTTAAAAACATGCTCTTTCGCTTGTTTTTGTCTAACGTCCGCTTGATTGAATAACAGCAGTGTAAGAAAAACAATAGGAAAACGGACATGCACGGTATTATTACAAATCCATCTACATCCATCCTCCGATCTAGCTCATTTCTACGCCAAAATGTTCCTTAACATGCCCAGTATCTATTAGGGGGTGGCACTTTCTCTTTCTTTCCCAAAAACGAAAGTTAAAATTAACTTTTCTTTCTTTTGGGAAAGGAAAATTTTCTACTTTCCCGTTAAAAGTATGATATAACTTTCTTTTATGTCTTTCTCGATGAAGAGAACACTTTATTGCAAACCAAGGCCATATTCGTGATCAACGTCGAAAGCAGAACCAAGTGATGCGTTTTGCAAAACATGCTAAAAAACGGTTATGGGTATTGTTACTGTCGCGTGCGAGGATTACACATATATGTGCCATTTGGACAAACCCGATCAGGATTTAGGCAAGAAGAAAAGACATTAGAGGTTTGTATTCAGATATCTCTGTGATCATAGGTGAATCTGCGGTTCACCATCGAATCTCAGACTAGTCCTAAAGAGCCGACTATAGTTTCGCACATAGATGTGATTAACTTACGGTATTTTCTGCCACATTGATGTTGCATGTGACAGCAGTTGAATATTTGCGTTGTGTAGTTGAACAAGATGATTTCTGCGAATTTCCTTCTCAAAATATTCTTCATATTTGCGCAGCTGCATTACACGCGACACTCTTTCCAGTTTACAGTTGTCTGTTAACTGAAGAGTAACTTCAACGACAACACCCAGACCACCGTAGCCACCAATTGTTCCAAAAAATATTTCACTGCTACCATTGTCAGGTGTAGCTGTCACTAAATCGCCATTTGCTATTAAGTATAGAGAAAAGACGAGAAAAACTTTAAAACTACCGTCTTTTTTCTGCATACATGTAAAAAAAGTCGACTAACTTACCTAGCAGTAACTTGAGTTCTTTCACTGTTCTGCTGATGGATCCATAGCCAATGTATCGTCCATGTACATTCACACTCAGAGCTCCTCCGACAGTGAAATCGGCGTAGCTCTGCATCACCATTACACTTAGATCGTACTTGTCAATAAATTCAATTATTTTACTCCAACGGCAGCCTGTTTCAACTCTAATCTCTTTCTTCTTCTTTTCAAAACCCAGAATTTGATTAAACTGACGTAGATCAATGTGTATTCCGTCAGTTAGTGCAGTCTGACCACCCTGTGAGTAGCGACCACCACCAACGGAAACACCTAACTGAGATGATTCAGGAAGCAGAAGAATTCTTCGAATTTCATCCAAAGTGGTTGGACGGTAGATGCACCGAACTTTAATAGAATTTAACTGAGTAATATCATCGACAATTGTACCTTAGATAATTATGAAACTGGTAGATAAAAATTTTCTCGGATAGGCTTCCTCCAAAAAAAAATTGGTCAAAAGATTTGCTCGATATCTGGGATGAATTGAGAAAATAAGTATGAGACGAACTGAGAAAGAAAGCTTCGTGGGACGAATTGCGAAGTCAATTAGGGACGAACTGAGAGGACATCCATCAGAGAGCATCAATGGTTTTACAGCTGATAAATTATGTAACATCACTCTCCAGATCATTTAAGAGTCTAAACTATTTAGTTATTATTAATAAATTATTGTTAAGTTTAAATTATTAATTTTGGTATTTTTTTTGGAAAAATGGAGTTTTAGCTATTTTTTATGTGTGAGATGTCTGATTGTAACTGGAAGCCAATGAAACTGCCGCAGGACTACCTCGATGAGTGGTTTTACATTTAGTTAGTTGCTTTGTCAAAATATATTTCACAATTTAACATCCTCAAAGCTCATTTTCATCTTTCAAGGTGTCATAAACCTTCAAAGCTGCACTCTCCTCCACTTCGACAGACCATCCTAAATGTACAACTGCCGTCTCGAAATGATGTCATAAGTGAGCAGATCTTGTCCAAAATGGCTATGACAAGATTTGCTCGAAATCGAGCATATCTTTTGGCAGAACAAGCGACCTGGCAAATTTGAAAACAAACCATCATAAACAGATTATTTACTATACGGACAAACAATAACGAGTTAAAATTTACCGTAAACTACATCGTCTATCATGTCAGGAGAAGGGCTAATATAACCTCCTTGAATTGGATATTGTCCGCTACCACCAAACTTTCGCCCAGTTTTATTTGATGTTGTATTCGATGCGATAGTAGATGGTATGAACATCGATTGGGTAATTTGTATTCGATACCAAGTTACAACTACTAACAACAAGATTTTCAATACCATTTTTGATCGATGAGAATACGTTTCTAGACACTGTAGGATTTTAATGTGGCTAACGCGTTCTCATATTGCAGCTATACAATAGGGTTTCTACCACTCTAATAATGAAAACAGCTTCCATTTGAGTAAAGTGCATCTAATTCAGAATTCGAGTGAATTTTCTTTTAGGCTTTATTATATATATGAGTCATTTGCAACTTTATTGTACAATTAAGTTTTTGTCGTATTTTTAAAATTACTCCGGTTTCTGAAAACGGATTTCGAAATTCTTTTTTTTGTTTTATCGCTGTTTGCTTGCTTCACTACCACAGAAAATCTAAGCTCGATATCTCAACAACTCACCGAGATAAACCCAGCAAAAGTCGAAAAAAACGTGTTTTTTAGATGAATTATTGAGAGAAAAGTAAGTTTTTCTAACAAAAGAAGGAAATAAAAGCAAAAAGCAAATAGTATGTTTTGTAGAGCATTTAATGCTCTATCAAACTGTGTGCCTTCATGCTTGTTTTGTTTTTTTGTTTATGGTCGCCTATGGCGAAAATTGTTTTACAGACAACTTGTAGATCGAAAGAAAAATCAAACTGGGCACTTGAGAAAACGTTTTTTTGGGAATGTGAGGTGTTCATAAGAAAGAGCAAGGGCGGCTGCATCTAACTGAACAAAAATGCTTTGTTAAATGTCTCTCTTACCGGGCGAAAAAATGGAAAACAGTTTTACGTTCACTTTGTAGATCGAGATTTTCCAACTTTTGACATCCGCTGTTTTACAAGGATTTGCCTGACTGCAACAGTGTTGACCCACAAGAAAGAGTGTCAGAAGTTGTACAAGTGGTGCAATTTGCAAGCCTCTAGAACATACCTAAGTAGGAAAACATTACAATATGCCGCGAAATGTAGATCGAGATTACCCTAAAAGTTTTTTCGGTTCTTTTAGTCAAAAATCAAGTTATAACATCAATTTTGACTCCTTATATTCTGCTGAACCTATCTCTATCCATAAATTTACGTAGTTTTGATGTCGAGTTTCTCCAAAGTGGCTCACCACCTGTAGGCTACAAGCTTTGCGTTTTATTTTTGAATACACATTCGAAATTAGGGTTTTAACGATCTAACGTCCGCTGTGCAGGTCAGACTAAGTTACATATGGTATGAATCGATAGCTCTCCACGAGACCTATCGAATGGTGTATGATCCACTTTTAAAGCAACTTCGAGATCATTATAGCTTAAAACCTAGAGAACGAAATCTGCCAAAGTTTGTTGAGGTTTATCTCAGTCGCTACGCATGTGGTAGTCGGGAAATTTGGGTTCTAGACTCAGAAAACAACGGAGAACAAGATGTGCTAATCAAATTTTGTTTAAAGTCACTTTCATTATTTTTCACCAATTGTACAATAAAGTTGCAAATGACTCATATTCTGATTAACCAGAACAAGCTGATCACGAATATCACCTTTTCAGTAGGACTCGAGCCTTGTTTCAGGTAGAAATACGCGAAATACGGAGTGAATGTCAAAAAATCCAAGTTACGTCCATTTTTAGAAAGTGCTCCATAACTGTTTTCAGAAAGGAGATAGAGCTTTGAGTTTTTTTTAATTAGATTCAGCATCGAAAACTGAGTCAGAAAAAGTATGATTTGAGGATTGTCTGTGTGAATAAAGTTTTTGGCGGTTTCCAATAGAAGGATGCCTCAAATCTGACATCCTCGCTTTGCAAACCTAACAACGATTTTAGGTTAGGTGCTCACCCAAACATTTTTATATGGTTAGACTCGCCAAATCCTGGACTACAAAATTACAGAAACTTTTGGGGAAAAAATAAAACTGCGCTGAAAAACATCGATTTTAACAAAATTGACCGGAAAACGGCAAAGTCGTTTTTTTCAATTTTTAGATTTTCAGGACAAATTTCGTTTGATTACCGGAGCCTAGGAGAAAACCAGCGCGGAATTCGACTGTATCACTCACAAGTTCTCCAGAGGTACTTCAGACGGGTCTCCAGAGAGCAGCTGAGGTTTTCTAGAAATCAGAATATGCGAATATATATAATAAAGCCCAAAAGAAAATTCACTCGAATTCTGAAATAGATGCACCTTATAGTGGTTATTATTGCAGCATGGTTAAACAGTTCATCTTAGTCGGAACATAGATTAGAAGGGCATTGTAGCGGCTAGGATAAATCATGTAGTTAGTGAATATTGTTACGTTTCGTTACCGTTTTTCGCGATGGAATACACGAAATAAAGTTATTTCGAGGAAATATTATATCATAACATTTGTCGATAAAATTCACTCGAATTCTGAATGAGATGCACCTTAACCCTTTCTTGCCCTTTGGTCCCTATAGGGACCATGTTATAAAAGTTTTATTTTTTTGAACTAGAAGGCTTTTAACGAGGAATCTTATGTCACCTTTAAGAGTAACTATCGTGGACTGTATAACAAGAATCTAAATCTAATCTTTATCCCTAAATTAATTTTTCATGACGCTTGTTA